TTACGTAGTCATTTGCAAAATGGTAGAGGACTTTTTTGTTCAGTTTGACCTAATTTGTAAGCATACGACAACAAGCGTTACTATCACAACTCGTCTACTATATTACTCATAATTATTCGCCAATCCTCTTTAATTAATAACTCAAAATTGGTTGTTTACAAAATTTTATATACAGTTTGATTTAATCTGCATGTAGACGAGATATAGGATGCTTGGCGTCAAGCTTTGTATGTAATGAACAGTGTGTATTTGTAATAATTTTGTCAGATGCCTAGTACTGGCACGAATAATGAAGCATCTATAGAGCATGAATTTTACTCGGCTTCCGTATCGGAGGACGGACATGCTTCTCATCTACCACCTGAAATCTGGAAGACCGTTATTAGTTTAGGGTATTTGTTTATTGTCACATGGATCACCGCCTTCGTGATGGTCATCGTTCACGACAGAGTGCCTGATATGAAAAAGTATCCTCCATTGCCAGATATATTTTTGGACAACGTACCTCATATTCCTTGGGCATTCGATATATGCGAAGTTATCGGAACTCTGCTTTTCGCGATATGGCTGGTTGTGCTTATATTTCACAAATATAGGTAAGAGAACAGATAAGAAAATAATATTGTCGAATATTGCGGTATTTCTTTGTCTAATTTCAAGAAAGTAACTGATGCAATTTGTCAATGAGAATAATTTATTAAATTGCCCAACAGGTTCATTTTGTTACGGAGGTTCTTCGCACTGTCAGGTACAGTCTTCCTATTGAGATGCGTGACAATGCTCATTACTTCCTTATCAGTACCAGGTGCACACTTACAATGCCAACCGCGGAAAGTTCCAGATGAGGACTGGACAGGGTGAGTTATCAATCACACTGTAATCTATCATCTGTTTTTAAAACATATCTATCTATCTAATATATTACTTCAGTTCTGCGTACGTCGAATTGTACAATAAAATAGCAATGGCTTATGTTATATGGCGGGGCGCTGGTATGTCCATTCAAGGTGTAAGGACCTGCGGGGATTACATGTTCAGTGGGCATACGGTTGCTTTAACTATGCTTAACTTCTTCATTACAGAATGTAAGTAACGATCCGTTTTCGTTAATATTTCATCTCAGCAAGTAGTACAGTTGCTGAGATATAGTACAGTTGCTGGGTTATGAAACATCGGAAACGACAAATTATATATAAGCTTGAAGAGAGTCGATTTAATTATTTCTTACTCTATTTCTTACAGATACTCCAAGACATTTGTACTTTTTACATACTTTCACATGGATGCTCAATATGTTTGGTATCTTTTTTATTCTGGCAGCACATGAACATTACTCCATCGATGTTTTCGTGGCGTTCTACATTACTTCACGATTGTTTCTTTATTATCATACATTGGCGAATAATCAAGCGTTGATGCAACGTGATTCAATTAGAACTAGAATCTGGTTTCCGTTGTTCAGCTTCTTCGAGGCGTCTGTCGACGGCATCGTTCCTAACGAATATGAATCGCCGTCTTTGATCGTTTGCAATTTAGCAGGTACGGGAAAGAACACTTGGCATTGTTTACGCTCATTAATTTGCTTCCGAAAAACGCCGCGTAGTATGAATGGTAGTATCAACAGCACAAAGAAAGATCACTAACAGGTATGTTCATTGCGTTCTTTTTTTTACTTTTATAAAAGATTTTTAAACATGTTGACTGTTTGCCTGGTAGATCTGTTTATACGCAGAAATAATATATTAAAAACGAGATATAATTAATCCAAAATATTTATTTTTATGCGATAACATAATTATAATATATATGTAAAATATATATGATGTACATGTACATATACATCATATATATACATACGTACATATATATGCACACATATTTTACTTGTAATATATATAAAAATACTTATATTACCAAGAAAATTAAAATAAATTTAAGAGCTTAATTTAAGTTATTAAATCAATGTGTAAAAAATTCGAATTTGTTGCACGTGTTATTTTGTACTTCATACAGGGTGTCAAATAAGTCCCGGGACGGCAAGATAACTTGGCGGGGGAACATTTTAGAGAAAAATGTTTCAGACAAAAGTTGTAAGGCTTAAAAAAACACATTCAACGATAGTAGTTATTTGACATAGGATGGCGTCGCCAAGGTCAGAACAAGATCAACTTTGCTTTTTTAAATAGAAACACATTTTTTATTATGGCATTTTATTTTACATAAAAAAGCAGACAACTTTTGCTTGAAAAAATTTTTTATACGACCTCTATTTTCTAAGATATTTACGTAAATATCT